CCGAACGAAGCTAATATAAATAAAGCAATAGAAGCTGTTCAGGCTGGAAGCAGTGTGCGAGGCGCAGCAAAACAATTCGGAATTGCGCCGCAAACTATTCGTCATCGGTTGCAAGGATGCAAACCGAAATCAGTAGCACATGTCGGACAACGAGTGAGCAGATAAACGTCTAGCGTGTTTTTGAAGGTTTTTTTCATATTGTTTTCACTTCTCAGGTATTCAATGAGGAACAGGAACAGGAACTTCAAGACTATCTGGTGAAATCCTCGAAAATGTTTTACGGTCTCGCGTTGCCGCAACTTCGTAAGCTTGCGTTTCAATTTGCGCAGAAATTGAAAGCAGCCAGATCTATTAAGAAAATTCCGGCCAGTTGGTTCCCAAAGAAACCAGATGAAGAACCAACTGCCTCCATGGACTGGGTGGAAGGTTTCATGAAAAGGTATCCCAATCTGAGTTTGCGTCGACCGGTATCGACATCGCTGGGTCGAGCAGCAGCATTTAATGCGCCCGTCGTAATGAATTTTTATGATTTGTACGAAAATATCCGGCAGTTACATAAATATACCGCAGCAAATGTTTGGAACATGGACGAAAGTTCGCTGAGCACAGTTCATAAAACTAAATACTTCTAAATCATATATAAAACTCATGTAAAAACATATAGGATCGCATTAAAACATTGTTGTGGCGCAAAAAGGTCAGCGTTGTGTGGCAGCGGCCAGTTCGGGCGAACGTGGCGCTAGTGTGACTCTCGCGATGGCTATTTCCGCCGCCGGCGAAAAAATTCCACCATTTTTCATCTTCCCGCGGGTGAAGATGCAGGATAAATTTCTCATGCACGGCAGTGCGGGTGCCGAAGGAGTTGCGAATGGATCGGGTTGGCAGACCGCTGACACCTTCGTTAAATTTCTGCACCATTTTAAAAATCACGCCATCAAAGCAGGGACCGAAAGGATTTTGATGATCCTCGACAACCATGAATCGCATATGGCTATTGCGGGATTAGAATTTTGCAAGCAAAATAACATCGACGTGTTGACGCTGCCTCCACACACCAGCCACAAGCTGCAACCACTCGATAGAGGTGTTTTTGGCCCATTGAAAATATATTACGAAAATGCGTGCAAGGCGTGGATGTTCAATCATCCCAATGTTCCGATTGCAATCGGAAACGTTGCCGAACTCGTTGCCGAGCCGATCCTCAAAGGTGCCTCATCCATAAATATCGTCAATGGATTTAAAGCTACAGGTATTTGGCCATTCAACAGGGACATCTTCACAGAAGATGATTTCCTGGCGTCATCTGTAACTGATCGTCCGTACAAAGACAACGCCAGTCCAGCAACACTCAAAACATCAACCGATTCAGCAACCTTAGCGTTCAATTCAGAAACACCTGCACTGCTGTCCGATCCAGAAACACCTGCGCCGCCGTTCGATCGAGTAACTCCTAACACATCATTCTTCGCTCCGACGAGTGCTTCAAACGAAGAACTGATGCAACATGATGTTGGTGCCAATGTTGAAGTGTCGAATGACACATCACTTGAAAATATTCGGCCGTTACCAAAAGCTGCAGCTCGGACAGCAAACAGTCGTGGTCGCAAACGTCGTAGGTCTGCACTTCTGACTAGCCCAAGGATGATGAAGTCTTTGCGCGAGGAACAAGAGGCAACGGCCCAAAAGAAGGTAGCTCAAGCAGCGAAAAAGCAGTTGGCTGCCAACAGAAAGATTGAAAAAGAGGTGGTGAAACGACAAAAAGCCGCCGAAAAGTCAGCCAAAGTCGCCGAAAATGCAGCCACTAAGACAGCCTCCAAACGAAAACGCGGCCGTCCTAGTGTCGCAAAGAACGTCGACTCCGGAGACGACGAGGACGCAGACGAAGACGAAGTCATTTTGAAGCACCGAACGAAAAGTCGCCACTAAGAAAAAAAATTTTTTCAATAATTCTTCTCTACATTGCACCATTTTTTTTATTTTTACAGTTGTTTGTATTTCTACCTAACGCGGGTATATAAAAAACGTTACTTTTCATTTGATTTTCATTGACATAAGTTTAATTATACCTACTTTCATTAAATAAAGCTGTTCACAACCATTTCCGACGAATTTTGGTATTTTTACTGCACCCGGAAAATAGTGCACCACATTACCCCGAAAATTTTGGAAGGTCGAAAAAAGGTACCTTCGGTTTTTCGATCGTACCTCAACGCCATTACGTGCAACACAAAAACCTTTTCATAAAAAATGTAGCCAGATACATTATCTTTCCAATGAATACTCAATCTTCTTAATCGGTTAAAAAATACGGCCGTATGAGCATTCTAACGAAACGGGCACCACATTACCCCGTTCTACTCTAGTCATATAAAATCGTAATAAATCATATAAAATCAAACTAAATCATATAAAGTCATATGAAATCATATAAAGCAGTATTAAATCATATAAAATCGTATTCAATCATATAGAACCGTATTAAAGTACACAAAATGATATTAAATTATATAAAATCATATAGAATCAAGAGAATGGTATTAAATCTAATAAAATGTCAAGTCATAAAGAGAAATTGTATCAAATCAAATAAAATGGTATTAAATAATGTATAATAGCATTAAATCATAAAGAATAGCGTTAATTCATATAAGATCATATAAAAGCGAAAGAAAACATATAGACGCTGTGACGTGGCGGATTAGCTGCCGCGTGCCAGCTCCCCGCTGCCGTCCCAAGGCGCGGTGTCGGTCCGCCCGGGAAAAGAGGATCCGCGCGAGGCCGTAGGGAAACCTCCCGGGGTCGCAACCACACCTTTTTTGACTTGCCCGCTTACCCGAGAATTTTTTTTATTTTTGTAACGCGCCCATCGAGCGTCACTGAGCCAACCGGACCAGCGAGGGGACCAACGGACGGCGTCGCCGAGAGACGGCGAGAGAGAGAGAGAACTGAGGGGCGAGAGCGCGAGGAGGCCAGCGGGCGGTGGCCGCGAGGAAGCCAAGGGGGCCAAAACGGCGAGAGGAGCGAGTTGAGGGGAGAGGGCGAGAGGCGCCGACGGGCGGTGAACGCCGAGGAGCCGAGCCGCCCTGGGATCTGGGGCCCGAGCACGCGGAGCCGCACCCGAGGGGCCAGGGACGAGGCGCCAACAGGGCTGCCGGCCAAGGGGCGAGCACGGGCGGAGGTTCCCCGGAGGCCCGGGAGACCGGCGAGACCGGAGGGCCAACGCGCCGGAGAGCGGGCCCAGGATCGACCGCCCCGGCCCTGCAAGCCGCGCGGGGCGAATTTCGCGCCCGGAAGCGCGCGGACAGCGATAGCGCCCCTGCGGACCCGGCGACACGCCGGGTGAGCGGCCCCCTAATTGGCGGATCCGCGGCGCCGCTATCTCGCGCAGCCCCTTTTCGCGATCGTAACGAGCGATCGGGTGATCGACCCGCTCGCGCAGGATCTTCCGCTTTCGTTCGCGGATCCTCATACTTGTCGGACCGACTCTCCTCGCGCGAACCGAGAAGGAGGCCCGTGTGCCAGCCACGTTCCGTGCCGAGGCCGTGACGAGGGACCGAGGAGCCAAGTGCCGACCGGGACCGCGACGTGGGATCCAGGGAGAGTACCGGTGAGGTGGCCCTTGAGGGAAAGTCTATTGTAAAAGCCGCGTGCTTCCGAGGGGGTTAGCTCGCGCTCTGGCATCGCGCCGCGTTCGTTTTAGCGTTTCGGGCTATCGGGCGCCCGCTCCAAGAGGGAGTCGGCGCCGGCCATTTCGTGTCGCGAGCGGATCGGCGGTGCCAAGCGCGGGGGCTCTCCCGGGGAACGGCCGTGGGCTTATCGGGCGACCGTAGCGGGCGGGTATCGGGTACTGCGACCTCGGAGGGGAGCGTAGAACGGGCGCCCCGTGCGCCGTTGTTCGAGCGGGCGCCTTTTGGCCTGCACCGGGGAATTCTTTCGCGGCGAACCGGCACGCCGGGTGTCGGCCGCGAATCCCGTGTCGCGGGCGTGAGCAGCCTCCCGCGAGGAGGCTCGAGAGACCGACGGATAGCGAATTCGCCTCAGCGGAGGCCCCTTGCCTATTCTTTTCTTTTTTTTTGTATCCGAAACATTAAACCGCCTATGTTACTCTCAGAACCCGTGTCGAGATTCTTTTGGTGTGTTAGTCTAAGCGTGCGTGTGTCGCGTCCCGTCCCGACGTCCCGTTCCCGCCGGCCCGAAATTACGGGATCCTGCCACTCTGCCGACGGGAAAGAGCAGCCGGCCCTTGTCGCGTCGAGGAGGCGGAATCACGGCGCGCGTCGTGCGGATCGACGCCGCTGTTCCCGTACGTGGAGTCGTCTCGCGGTATAAATTCGACGCCGCCCGCGAGCGCGTCTGGCGCCCAGCTTTGCCTTCGTTCTTGGTGTCCGTTCCGGCGAGCAGCCCGGGACGGCGACGGCCGCGTAGCGGCCGCCGAAGCCGCCTCTTTCTTCGTCGCGCGCGGCGAATATAAGAAAACGCGTGACAATATATATGATATTTTTAATTCTTTGATGTAAGTTTATTTAATTTTGCGCACCACTAACAGCGCTAGACTCGCACCCGCCGCTGCTCATTAATTTCTTGATCATTGTCACGAGTCTTTTTAATTTGAATATACGCAGGCTGAAACAATGCGTTACCATACTAATATCAATAATCTTTTCTTTTTCAACTTCGTCGCTCTCACATTTGGCCCGTACGCCACTATTTTACTGAAGGACTGGATCAGATTTAATAAGATCTACATTAGAAACACACTAAAAGAAAAATTTTTACGATTTTGTATAACTCATAACATTGTTCCGACACTTCTTCACCGTATTTATAAATTCAAACTTGAACTTCATCATCCGAAATTTATAGCCAAGTTTAATCACAACATAAACAGTTTTGCCATAAAATTGCTAAGGTTAGAACTAAATGACACTTGTAGACAAATCAATCACTCCAGAACTGAGATCTTTCGTCTGGCACGCAACATCTCACATCACCTACCTCATGATATTTGCAATTCTTTCTTCTATAGACAAAATAGATCGTTACATTACTTTTCCATCTCAAAACGCGATATCCTCGATAAGAAAATTTCAAGGCTGCTACAAAAAAACACAAAGGAAAATATAAAACGGATTCAACCCGTGCACTATTACGGCACGAACCATCCAAAGACACATAAAAACCCTCCGAACATTAACCTTGAAGATGAGAGCGATAAAAATAATGGTTTCATTTTTTCCCTCAATCCGTTCAAATCGACAGACACAACATCACACGAGACTTTCCTTAACCCACAATCCTTTTCCGATCAGTTACCTCG